GAGGAGCCAGGGGGAGGGCGAGGAGCCAGGGGGAGGGGAGGAGCCAGGGAGAGGGGGAGGAGCCAGGGAGAGTGGGAGGAGCCAGGGGGAGTGGGGGGGAAGGTGACCAAAGGTGCGGTTGAAAAGAAAGGTCTTCAGCCGAGACCTGAAAATGGGAAGAGAGAGAGCGAGGGGAAGGGAGTGAGGAAGGGAGTTCCAGAGCCTCGGGACATTGTGGCTGAAGGCACAGCCTCCGAGGGTGGAGAGGAGGACTTGGGGGACAAGGAGGAGTTCAAACCCAGAGTGTACAGCACTGAACATGGTCGAAGAGGAGGGTCTTGAGGCGGGACTTGAAGGAGGCTAAGGAGGAGGTGAGGCGGAGTGATTGGGGAATGGAATTCCAGAGGTTGGGGCAGAGTGGCTGAAGGCTCTCCCACCAATGGTGGGCCGGGAGGGTTGGGGGACGTGGAGCAGCCGGAGCCGGCTAAGCAGAGGGAGTGGGCGGGTTGGTAGGGGGTTAGGAGGTCGCAGAGATAGGGTGGGGCGAGGCCATGTAGGGCTTTGTAGGTGAGGGTCAGGATCTTGAACTGGATCCACTGAAGGACAGACAGACAGAGCACTATTTAACAGATGTGCCTTTTAATCATTTACCTGTTAAGACACAGATAAGTATAATAATCACTTTACCTTTGATAGAGTGGCTTTTTCAAATAAGAATAATGATAATAATAATAATAATCCTTGCATTTGATATAGCGCTTTTCACGCCTTCTAGACGTCTCAAAGCGCTTCACAGAATAGACTGTAAAGTGAATTGACCGTATATTTGTGGGCGAAACGCAGCAGCCAATTGCACACAGCAGCGACCCCACAAACAGTCGTGGGTTGAAGTGACCAATTTATTATTATTTTTTTGGAGGGATTATTATTAGGTGTGTGGAGTAAGGAAATTTGCCCAAGGTTTTGCCCTCTGCCGGGAATTGAACCCAGGTCTCTCGCTTGCAAGGCGAGTGCTCTAACCACTGAGCTACAGGACTCCAAATAAAGTGCTTCCTCAGTAAATGTCGTAAAGTGAGGTGACTGTGTATTTCGTAGGCCAACGTGGCCAACAGCCAATTTGCAAACAGCCATGAAGTGAATGAGTGATTTATCTGAGAGAATTGCTGGCCAGGACACTGGAAGAAAATAACTCTTTTACAGTAGTGCCAAAGGATCTTTAACGTGTACCTAAAAAGTCAGATTGATTTTAATGTCCCATATGAACCATGGGTTGACCTTTAACCTTGGTTTTAATGGTTCATCCGAAGGACAGTATCTATGATAATGCAGCACACCCAGTACTGTAATTGAGTGTCGAGGTGGGTTATATCAGTTCATGCGGGTGCAATGCTAACAGGGTGCCAGGTGGCCAAAAGATGACTCTCCCAGCTTGATGTTTATGACCTAAGTTTCCACCACTATTTGTAACTATTTGTAAAGCCTCAGGGTTTAACATGGTGGGAGAGGGGGTGGGGGGATGACTGCATCTTTGTCTCTCATATTAAATCTTTGGAACACATAATGGATTTTTGTTTTACACCACTTCACAGCAGTTGTTCTTTTGTCACTTTGTATCTAGAACAATATCAGTATTGGGGTATTTAACTTCATTCTCTTGCACTCTGTGTTATTATGAGATCAATGGACGCAAATACAAAAACATGACAGGAGTAAGAAGTTGGCAAACTATCAATGGTTCATTGACCAATTTTATCTGGAGATTGTTGTCCTGGACACCGGGAGAAACTCCCTTCTCATTTCAAGTTGTGCAGTGGGATCTTTAACATTCACCTGAACAGGCAGACGGGCCCGGACCTAGGTTCAACATCTCAACCAAAGGACAGCACCTCCAGCAACACAGCACATCTAGCAATGTATTAGACTTGAACCCACAATCTCTGACTCAGATGCAAGAGTGCTACCGACTGAGCCCCAGGCTGATAACTTGTTTTCGAAAGAATATTAAATTCTCTTTAAGCAAGTTCAGCGAAGACCAATTGGCTTGAGGTTGGTTTGATACGTTTAGCTGTAAGAACAGAGTGGCCAAATTACAATTATTCTGTTCGTGTGCTCGAAGATATCTCCAGTGCAGCTTGAAATGGCTTATTTACTGATTGCAGAATTAACTACGAGGGAACTAGATTACTTGGTGACACCAGCACTGGAAGACATGCAGGAGCAGAAATTTAGCAAGCCTGAAAACAGAGCAGTGAGCAAACACTTATGGAGTTTTCCTTATGGAATAGTAGATATTGGAATAGATTCCAATCAAAAGCAGTATGTTTCTGTCTAAAAACAGAATAATGCCCATTAGCGTGTAGAGCTGGACTGACTCACTGCAGTTTTCTTTTGTGGCATTGAAGCCTCTGATGTAAGCATCACACAATGTTTTAGCAAATTAGCCGATGTGTTTTGGCCCACATAATAATGTCCACTTCATTTCTAATCCATTTCATTCTGTAAAGTGCTTTCAAAGATTTTTTCTTTGTGAAAGACGCTATAGAAACACAAGCCATTATATGTGGCTGTTCACATCCTGTGTTATTTCAAATGAATAGAGTTTTAGACTCCACAGCTTGCACTGTGTCTGGTAGCAGGAATGGGCTTGATGGCCTGAATAGCCTTTTCTCACTCCTCTCTTTCTTATCTCTTCTGCGCAGTAAATTGACCATACAGATTATTCAGCATCGGTTCCTGGCCATAAGAAACCGTTCAATGTCCACTTAAATTGGAAATCCCATTGTGAGCGAGCATAATCGAACACGTGGAGTCCTGTGGCATAGTGGTTAGAACACTCGGCTCGCAAGCGAGAGGACCTGGGTTTGGGCAGGGCAAAACATTGCGCAAGCCTCCTTACTTCACACACCTCTGTTTACCTAGCAGTAAGTAGGAACCTGGTTGTTAGTCGATTGGCAGATCACTTTTTCAGAGGTAATAATCCTTACAAAAAAAATAATAATTTGGTCACTCAATCTAAGACTGTTTGGGTCACTGCTGTGCGTAATTATTATAATAATAATCCTTGCATGCAGTGCCGTATCATGTTGTTGAAACTTCTCTAAGTGCTTATTTACTGCATAGAACTGTAGTGATGGTGTTTTTGTAGGGAACACAGCAGCCCTTGTACATATAGCAATATCCCACAAACAAGTATGAAATGAGTGACCGATTTTATATGGGGTATTATTGGCCAGAACGTACAATACACAATATCTATAATTATTGGGCATGGTGAGGCTAGGGGATGGATTCTTTATTGATTGGAAGCCATCAAGAAATCTATGACTGGCAAGGAGACGCGTGTTAGAGTTAACTCCTCCAATAAAGGCATTGATCCATCTTAACCAGAGCCTTTAATAAATTTAGCCTAATCAATCTGGTTACAATTGTCATGGCAATCATGCATAACCAAATGGTGGCCTTCTTTAATGTGAAATGATACACCGCGGCAAATATATGATCAGGAAGCTTCATTGTCTAAATAAGAAGTGTAATGTTTTCTTGTGTTTACATACCCGTACATCACAGTGAATGTTTTTGACTCGACTTTCAATGAGAAAAATGGGGGTAGTTTCCACTGAACAATGCTGGTAGGCATTGAGAAGTGTTTCCATGGAGATAATAGCAGAGAACTCAGTGCAAGTTGCATAGAAATACTTATTAATGGCAAAGCATTGAAAGGAGTTTCTACAGGCTAATGGAAGCATAGTGTACTCTACCTGTTCGTCTATATCAATGGCCAGGGACAATTTCATTGTAAGCACAATGCAATCTCTTCAATTTCTAGAAGGATTATGTCATTAATCCTGTATATTAATGTTGGAATTCATTGTCAAGAACAAAGTAATAAAACTCGTTTTAACTGAACAGCATAAAATACTTATTACAACAATTTTACATTTTATGGTAAGTTGGGAGGATGTCTCACAGTGCTTCAGCTGACTGGGAGCCCGAGCTGGGGGCTTGGGGTTGGTGGGGAGCTGAGGAAAGTGGGAGAAGGGGAAAGATGACCAAATTAATTGTTGAAAAGAAAGGTCTTAAGGCAAGCTTTAAAGGTGGGGAGGGAGGGGTGAAATGGAGAAACTCTGGGTTGGAGTCCCAAAGTCTGAATTACGATTTAGAGAGGTCATTAATCCCAGTCATTTTGTAATAGTCTGAAAGAACGACCCATCCTGGACTTGCACAGGCTCAGACAGCTCGTGGTGTAATCAATGCCTTGGCTTCTCTGTCTCAAACCAGTGTCATGAATCAAAGAGGTGAGTCGCTGTCAATGAGAAGTGGATCAGAGTCTGTGGTTTAGCCACATTACTTTGTGGCATGCAACAGGCTATTGCAGTGACAAAGTGTTAGTTTCAATGCAAAGCTACTCTATGGCATCACTGAGCCTTAAATCTGTTCATCTGCAGTGACTCATGTGGAGTTCTGAAGTGTGTTGATTAGATCACTCGCCTCACAAGTGAGAGGACCCTGGTTCGATTCCTGGGCAGGTTTCCGTACTCCATATTTACCAAGCAGTAAGTAGAAATCCGGTTGTTAGTTGATTGGCAGAGTGCTTTCCAGGGGTAATAATTCCGTAAAAATATAATAATAAATTGGTCATTCAATCCACGACTGTTTGTGGGACGCTGCTGTGTGCAATTGGCTGCAGCGTTTCGCCTACAAATATACAGTCAATTCACTTTGCAGTATATTCTGTGAAGTGCTTTGAGACGTCTCAATGATGTGGTAAGGCGCTATATGAAATGCAAGGATTATTATTATTTATTATTAAATTCAGCACAGAAACATCTTCAATTCCTCGTGTCAGAAGAGAAATGCCAGGCTCGGCTTTGACTTAAAACTACACAACAATATAAGAAAGTTCTGGCCTGAACTGTTCGGCAGTTAGCTGTGTCCCGAGCTAGAGAGAGGAAAGAGCACTTTGGTTTATGTGGTGGTGTGAGACTGAAGCACTCATTGACTTTTTAATGGATTCCACTTACCCATCTATGTCCTGGAAGTTCACGTTCACTCTCTTGGCTGAGCCCAGAAGTTCTGGAAAAAAGAGAGAAAGAGAAAAATAAAAACAGGAGTCAATAAGCATATAAGTCAACCTGTGTTAGATTGGCTTCTTGGAATGCAGCACTGCAGGTGTGGAAGGAAATATGCTTCCCAAAAATGGTGAAAACTCTTTTAAACAGAAACCTTTACAGAAACTGTCAGGTTACTTTGTGTGTTGGGTCATTAGGTCATTACTGGTACAAAACTAGTGATTCAACACTTGAATCATTTTGGATATCAGCAAATGTTAGATCGTTAATATCTTTCAATACGACTACTCATTCACTGTGTATTACTTTGGTCAGCTGGGGGCCTGATACATACAGAAACCCATTGCATTTATGCCATTTACAGATGAAAATGTCCTTGTTTGGAATGGAAGTGTTTTTCCAGAGAAATGTACCCAGCTTATTTAAATCCAGAGGGCATTAGGCACAAGGTTGGCAAGAGCCAGAACACATGTTGTCTTTGTGTGATCTGGCACACTGGTAGTGCCTTCACCTCTGAAACAGAAAGTTGTGGGTTCAAACCCCAAGTCAAGACTTTGAACTTACTGACACTAGGCTGACACTCCAATGCAGTGATGTTCAGTTGGACGTTAAGAATCCTGCAACACTGTTTGACAGGAGAAGGAAGTTTCTCCCAGTGTCCTGGAACAATCCCCAGATAATAAAAATCTGTCATTCACATTGTTACTGTTTGGGGGATATTGCTGTGTACAAATTAGCTGCTGCATTTGACTTCAAAAAACTCAATCATACTCAAAATACTCAAAAATACTATACTATAAAATCCTGTGAAGCACTTTGAGACTATCTCCCAACGTAAAAACACTATATTAAATGCAAGAATATTTGTTACTAATAACAATTCTTACCATTCACTAATTGAGCAGCATTGGCTTACGTGTCCACAGTTGCTACATTTAACAGTAATTACTGTGAAACCCTTTGGAGACGTTGAGTTACCGTGTCATATGCATGAATTAGTTATTATTTATCCACTGTAAGATTTGATAACATATGCAACAATCTCAAAAACATGAAAACAGAACTCCCGATAATTAAACAATGAGGCTACGTTGCTTCCAAACAGGTGGAGTGATGGCTTCAGGGCAGACAGCCTGAATCATTTCAAAAACAGAATTTGGGGCAATAGGGGATGATTATGTTCATAATATTTTTGGTTATAAGTGAAAACAACCTGCACTAGGGAGTGGTATTGTACTGTTCCCTCATAGGTCTCTCTATTCCTTTGAGGAATAAGAATGCCACGGGAAAGGTGGTGCAGCCATGGCTAACTAGAGCAGTTAGGGACAGTATCAAATCAAAAGAAAAAGCCTATAAAACAGCGAAGATGAGTAGTAAACCTGAGGATTTGGAGAACTTTAGGGAACAACAGAGGAGGACCAAAAAATTGATCAAGAGGGAGAAAATAGATTACGAGGGCAAACTAGCAAAGAACATAAAAACAGACTCCAAGAGTTTTTACAAATATATAAAGAGGAAAAGGCGAGCGAGGGTGAATGTGGGTCCATTACAGGCAGAGACCGGAGGAATTATAATAGGGGACAAAGACATGGCAGAGTCATTAAACAAGTATTTTTCTACAGTCTTCACCGTAGAAGACACTGGAAACATACCAAAAATAGAGGACCAAGAAGACAATGTTAGCGAGCAACTTAGGGAGATTAACATTAGTAAAGAGATGGTTCTAGGTAAATTGTCGGGTCTTAAAACCGATAAATCCCCTGGACCGGATGGCCTGCATCCGAGAGTTTTAAAGGAGGTGGCTACTGAGATAGTGGATGGCATGTCTATAATCTTCCAAAAGTCTGTGGATACTGGAAAAGTTCCCATTGATTGGAAGATTGCAAACGTAACTCCACTATTTAAGAAGGGTGGGAGAGAAAATAGGGAAAACTATAGACCAGTTAGTTTGACGTCAGTTGTAGGGAAAATTCTTGAGTCCTTAATAAAAGACGTAGTTATGGGATACCTGGAAGACCATAAAAAGATTAGGCAGAGTCAACATGGCTTTACAAAAGGGAAGTCATGCTTGACTAACCTTTTAGAATTTTTTGAGGATGTATCCAGCAGGTTGGATAAGGGGGAACCAGTAGATGTGGTATATTTGGATTTTAGGAAGGCATTTGACAAGGTGCCACACAAAAGGCTGTTACTCAAGATCAAGGCCCACGGGATTAATGGGAAAATATTAACATGGATAGAAGAGTGGCTATCGGGTAGAAAGCAGAGAGTAGTGATAAACGGATCATTCTCGAATTGGCAGGATGTAACTAGTGGAGTGCCACAAGGATCGGTGCCTCGGCCTCAGCTATTTACCATTTACATCAATGATCTGGACGAGGACATTGAATGTAATGTGTCTAAATTCGCGGATGATACTAAACTCGGCAGCAGAGTGAGCTCTCAGGATGATGCAAAAAGATTGCAACAAGATATAGATAGGCTCGGGGAGTGGGCAAGTAGGTGGCAGATGGAATTCAATGTTAGCAAGTGTGAAATTATTCACCTCGGTAGCAAGAATAAAAGAACAGATTATTTTCTGGAAGGGGAGAAGTTAGATAGTGTTAGTATTCAAAGGGATTTGGGTGTCCTTGTACACCAGTCCCAAAAAGTTAGTTTGCAGGTGCAGCAGCAACTAAGAAGGCGAACGGCAGTTAGCGTTCATTTCGAAAGGTTTAGAATATAAGAGTAGGGAAGTCTTGCTGCAACTGTATAGGGCTTTGGTGAGACCGCACCGAGAGTATTGTGTGCAGTGTTGGTTTCCTTATTTAAAAAAGGACATACTTGCCCTCGAGGGGGTGCAGAGTAGATTCACTCGGTTAGTGCCTGGGATGAGGGGACTGACCTATGAGAATAGGCTGAATAAACTGGGGCTGTATTCCCCAGAGTACAGAAGAATTAGGGGAGATCTTATTGAAACTTATAAGATTCTTAAAGGGCTGATAAAGTAGACACAGAGGGTCTGTTTCCCCGGTAGGAGAATCTATAACCAGGGTCACAGTCTGAAAATTAAGGGTCAGCCTTTTAGAACAGAGTTGAGGAAACATTTCTTCACTCAGAGGGTAGTGAACTTATGGAATTCACTACCCCAGAAGGCTGTAGATGCTCAGTCCTTGAACATTTTCAAGGCTGAGACTGATAGATTCTTGAAAAATAGAGGGATTAGGGGTATGGGGAGAGGGCAGGTAATCAGAGTTAGGTGAGAAGATCAGCCATGATCTAATTGAATGGCGGAGCAGGCACGAAGGGCCGAATGGCCTACTCCTGCTCCTAATTCTTATGTTCTTATGTTCTTATTAGCGAATTATTGCTGTTTAATAGGTTCGTGGGGAAAGATTCCACTCAGGCCTATATTGACTCTGTATCACGTAGCATTTCAGAACGTCCAAAATATGGCAAATTTAGACTTTCATTTTGAAGCCGGTTTTCTGTAAGTTTCTTTTAAGAATTGAGCAAATTGCCAAATTCTGGATGCTCTGAAATACAACATAAATAGAGTGAATCTAGACCTGGGTGGAATTTCCCCAGAGTTTAGGTTTCCATGAGGCATTTGAAGCAATGACCAGTGTTTGCATGACGGTATAGCACGTTTGAGAGTTGCTGATATTTCTAATACAATCAGACTCTAATCCACAGCAGCTAAGCTTCCTCTGTTAATTGAAAATGAGCATTGTACATTGCAGATGTTAATATGAGAGTGAGCCACAAGGGATGGATCCCTTTAAGCAGGCAGTGCACTTGGGACAGTTATAACCAGTGGCTGAGCAGCATTTAACAGGTTTAACAGTGGAGACTTACAGTAACCTGCAGTCGTCCTGAGGATTAATTAAAGCCAATGCAAATATTCTCAATCTCCCGGTTTCACCGTACTGAGCACTTGCTGTATTTAATGGAAAAGGAAAATTCCAATTCAATCACATTATGTAGATGGTGTCTTTGAGGGTTATCCTTGCTGTCACTCTAAGCCCCGTTAAATTCTATCACAAGTATATTATAAACTGCCCTGAATGGAGAAATATCTATTCACAAGACCAGGTCCTAAAAACCTGCAGGTAATTTGCAGATGAGGAGAGTCATGATATCAGGGGCTTTGTGACTTATTGTAATGGTATATAGGGCTTTTGCGTTTCTTATGTTGACAAACATAAGTGTGTGAGTGCATCGCTCCCTGCATCTGTCTGCATGTGTGCGAGTATGTTTGAGAGTGAGTGCGCTTGTATGTGTGTATATCTCTTTCTCTCTATATCTCGGAGTCCTGTAGCATAGGGTTAACATGCTCGCCTTGCAAGCGAGAGAACATGGGTTCAATTCCCAGGTGGGGCAAAACCCTAGGCAAGTTTCCTTATTTCACACGCCTGTTTACCTAGTAGTCAGTAGGAATCCGGTTGTTAGTCGATTGTTGGATTGCTTTCTGTGGATAATAATTCTTCCAAAAAAAAAAAAATTTGGTCACTCAATCCATGACTGCTTGGGGACACTGCTGTGTGTAATTGGTTGCTGTGTTTTGTGCACAAAATACAGTCAATTCACTTTACAGTATATTCGGTGAAGTGCTTTGAGAAGTCTTAACGATGTGATAAGGCAGTATATCAAATGCAAGGATTATTATCATAAACATGGAATGGAATTATTCATAGCATATTGAAAACATACAAAGGTCTGTTCCTCGCTTCCCCAATGGAACCTTTTATTCTAATCCCATTCTCATGTTCATTCCCCATTGCATGTTGTCCTGGTGCTTGCTCGTCAACTGGAGCTCTCTCTACTCTAATCGTATTCCCTTGCTCCTTCCTTACACCGTTTAATATTACTTTCTCTCAAGTATTCATTGAATTCACCTGTTATGGACCTGACTCCAATAGGTATTTTGCAGTTAAGAGTTGGCTATTCTAACCATCATCTCTGTAAAATAAATTGTTCAAACCTTCGCCTTGTTTTCCTTCTTCTGGTGATAATCCTCAATTT